CCATGTTAGCACATGTGGATATCATGTCACAACGATATAACTACTGATGTAAATGAGACGAAACAAATCACAAGCCATTCGAGTTCGACTTATTCAAAGCTCATTCTACACTCGATTCGAATGGACATGACTCGAGTTCTTAACAAGCTGAACGAGCTACTTGATATTCGACTAAAAAAATCGCAAACAACTACTTGATACTCGACTCAAAAAACTCGCAAACAATTCGAAAAAATAATGTATTCTATTTTTATTTTTTAAAATTAAATTATTAATAATATTAACATTTATATGTTGATTTTTTTAAATGCAATATAAGATTTTTCAAGTACTTAAGGTTCAGGTCCGAGCTCGAGTCAAGCTTCAATTTTTAACTTAGAATTTAAGTTTAACTTGACAATTTTAAGCTTGCGAGCTTTCAAGTCGAGTACAACTCAACTTTAAACTTTTATAGGCGAGTCGAGCTCAACAATACTCGAACTCGACTCACCTCGTTTACAGCCCTAGTCATATAACATTCAAGTTACTAGAATAGAAATAAGTAAAAAAATTTAATGAGTAAATTGAATTTTTTTAAAACTTTAGTGACTAGAATAGAAATGAGAAAAAATTGAGTTGAAATTTTACCCTTCTATTATTAAGAAGCCCCCAAAACTTCCTTTTAATTTTATAAAGATATCTATAAATTTTTTTCTATTTAATTCTTTAACCTATTTTTTTAAGTTTCGGCGCTAGAGCATATTCTTTCAAATCTTAATGGTGGAGAGGTGGACATGGAGGAGACACACAATATATTTACGCTAATCAGACGATGTGGATTGAAGATCAGAACCTTTTTCGTTTGAATTTTGTGTTAAATTTTGGTGACTTCTATGAGATTTTAGAGAAAGCTAAACTAATAAAATGATAGAGGATTAATGAATTCGTTAATGTCTGCAATAGTTGAAGAAACGTCGTAATATAGTGATTTCAACAATGATGTAACATATAAACAAAATTCTGGAAAAAAAAATTAGTTGAGAAAAGGAAAAGATAAAAAAAAAGTAGGTGGACGATTGGTGACTTCCATGTTAGTAAAAAAAAATAGATCATATCATCATGTTGTTTTTAATCTAATGCTCAAGTGATAAGAATAGAATGATTTAAAATTTGAGCGATTAACATGAATTTTTTTAGGTCGAGTGTCCAAATTTGAAATTTTTAAAGTTGACCGGCTAAAAGTAGGATTGATGAAAGGAATTATTTTAGGTTTCTTTACTTAAAAGACAAGCCATCTTATCCGTAGTAGCGAGGTAGTAGCCTTCCATACTTAACGGATCAGCTTGTTCATGATGGACCCAAGATCTTGAGGCAACAAAGGCACCATTCTCATCCCTTATGACACCACCAAATCCAACCGAATGTTTGTAATAAAAAGTACCAGAAATCTAATTTCATGTTCTGTTTGCAATTTGAAACCTATATCAACTATTTTTAACTTCAAAGTTCATATCACACCCAATCTGTTGAAAAATCTGAGTGATTAGATCCTGAAGCACAAGAAAAATTAGAAAGGGAAACTCCCAAGCCGTCAGTCTTAAGCAAATACTATCAAAACCAAAATCAATGTCAACAACCATGATTTACATAGCTCAATATTCAATTCTGACTCCTTATTGTTCTTTCGTTGGATTCATGAATACAATAAGATTCCATTTCAAAGCCAGTCCATTTCATGCTGAGGCCTACTTTTCTGAAACTTTGTTCATAAGAAAAGAAATGCAAAGAACCTTCCCCTTCGAACGCAGACCAACATTTTCTGCCTTTGCACAGTATCCCAACTGCACAAGAATAATATTGAAGTTAAAATTCGATATTCCTCTTTCACATATTGCATGAAGTGAGAAAACAAATGAAAAATGGCATTGTTGTTTCTGTAGGTAACCTTTTCTTTGTTTTGAATTTTAAATTCCAAGAACTTCAATGCCTCTTGGATTTTTCAAAGCAGGCAATGTGAGTGACTATGTAGATTGCAGAAGCCCACTTTCATTGAGGGGAAAGAAGAATTCGATTTAGATTTTTTACATAAGCAAACGAGAGGTTGATATATTTTTTTCTATTTTTTCTTCTTCTCCCTATGGCTGCAACTGTAGTTTTTCCCATTTCCTTTCAAGTGCAACAGATCTTCAACTAACATCTCTGATTCCCTTTCATTTTCGACCGACCTCTTGTATGCCATTAATCCAGCGGAACAGACCAATCTTAGGGGTGGCCATGGTATTGCATTCACTATCTCATCTCACCTACCATGCAGCTTCCAGAGGCTGCACCAACCCAATACTTGGGGCTCTCTAATTCTTCAACCAATGGCCTTTCTTCAAACCAGGTGTTTGCAGTCGTCTTAGACGCGGTTTTAAGCGCTGAATTTGGAGATCAGTGGCAGTTATGTCGGCGTTGATGTAAACATCTTGAGATCATTGGAATCAGCTCCACCAGCATACTTTGGAGAGGATTAAGGGGAAAATAAAAGCTTGGACCACTTAAATGGAAATCCAATGCAGCATGGAGAAATCTACAAGTCCAAGAATTTCCCAAGCCAATTTTATCTTACTTCTTATGCCATGCTTCTGCCTTCTGATTTCCACTCTAAATTATTGCAGCTGTGTGAACGTTTACCAACAAAACATTATGTGAATTAGTGAGTAGATAATAATATCCTAGCTGATCACTTTGGTCAGAACTTGATCCATATAAAATGAGATCTTCAAACAATATATAGAGAAGATGCAATCTGTTTTTCCGAAATCAGTTAATCAAAGCATAAAGGGAGAGGAAATATGGTCCAAACTCGCAATATACCATTATAGAATACTTTTGTTTTAGGATGTCATCAATTAATCAGAGTGGCGCAGCGGAAGCGTGGTGGGCCCATAACCCACAGGTCCCAGGATCGAAACCTGGCTCTGATATTATTTTTTGGTATTTAACGTAGTTGACCTAATTTGGGCTCAGATTTAGCTTATTGTGAGAATAATGGGCCTTTGGTTAAGTTTAGATTTTATCTATTTGAGACTACTTGTAAATCCTGTTGGATTATAGCGTGTAAACTTTACCTTATCTCATCCATAATAATAATAATCTTGTAATACTTCTTTTTTGACTAAATCTTATAAGACTTTATTTCTATTGGGTAAGGCTGAGATCCTAAAATTTATATTTTATATTTTTATGTAAACTTAAGAATTTTATTAATATTTCAAAATTTTAGTTATTTAAAAAAGTATACAGAAATTTTAATGTTTTTATATTTATTAAAGTTTAATTAATAAAAAATTGAAAAATAAGTATTTAAATCATATTTTAATTAAAATTTAGAGATTAAATTAAAAACTAACCCTTTTCGTTAGTACGACACATCATCGAGTTAACATCTTAGCGATCATTTTATAATTAATTAATAATATAAGTGATTAAAATATAGTTTTTAAAATTGAATGATTAAAATAGAGAAAAAATAAACAGAAATGACTTTTTATATAGTTTACCCTTAAATTTGTTCATATATATTTCTAATTGAAGTGCTCTGAGAGCATTTGTTACAAAATGTTAAATTTGTGTAAACAAACCCATTAATGACATGCAACATACTAGTTGAGTCCATGTTGTGGGCCTACACAGACATGTACCTTTTAATATTTTTTTATAATTTAAGTGATTATAATATAATATTTATTTATATATTTTTTTAATTATTGACAACATATATATACTCTATGAACATAATTGTTTAAATTTATGACCTCTAAAAAGAATAACATTTCATTTAATTACTGAATTCATAAATTCAATAATTTTATTTTTTAAGTTGAGATAAGGATCAAGGTAAAATTATCATTGCACTTAGGGTGCGTTTGGTTCATGGAATATAAGATTACCAGTGGGAATGTAAGATTACCAAGGAATAGCATTACTGGGAATGTTGTATTTTGTGTTTGGTTGGTTTAGCAGGAATGTAAGATTACCGTGTTTGGTTAAAGGAATAAAAGATTATTGGAATGTATATTTGACCAAATTGTCCTAATTATATATTTGTGTAATATTACAAGTTGGAAAATATTTATATATTTTCTTTAAAAAAAATTAAATTCATAATATTTATATATTTTTTATAAAATTAAAAATAAAAAAAGTTTAATGAAAGGGTAAATTTTATTTAAACCCTTGAACTTTATATAAAATTTTAATTATAGATTTTTTTTTTGTAAATCTAAAATAATTTAAGGATAAATTTGTAATTTAACATTCGTAAAATTTTTATTATTCGATGACAGAATAAATATATTTTTGAAAAAAAATAAAAATTTAAGGGCATTTTAGTCTAAAACGCCGGTAATCCAACAATACCTAAGGAAAGGGAGGTAATGACATTCCCGGTAATATACCCCAAAAAATCCACTATTGGTAATCTTACATTACCGGGAATAGGATTCCCGGGCTAACCAAACGGGGGAATGTGGATTCCATTCCCATGGGAATCCCACATTCCCCAATCCAAACACCCCCTTATTGTATTATATTTTAGATTGAATTTCAGCTTCTCTGCTAAAAAAAAGTGAATTTCTCCCATTTACATTTCAAATAAGAATAAAACAATTCGTCTATTAAAAATTCCATTCATTTTACTGTATTGTAACATTTGTAGATATATTTTTTAGCAGTGATAAATTGAGGAATAGTTTTAAGGTATATATATATAATTTTTGTATGTGGAGTAGATACAAATAGATTTTAACGTGAATACAACTAATAAAATAGATAATTAATACCTGTAAACATTTATCTACTTGAATATTATATGCATTCCACGGTTATGATACTTTTATCTAAGATTGAAGGATTGTCGATAAATTATTTTTTAAAATAAAAAATATTATAAAAAATGGTAATTTTGTTGTACGACATGTTAATTAAAGATTAATTTAAAACGATTTCTAATCTAAAATTTCACTTGACATTGTATATTAACGGATTTCACCCATGCTGATGCAATACAATACCTAGGACTGGTTAACCAGTCAACCAATGGGAATTCCTCTAGCCAGTTCTTTGCGGTCGAGTTTGATACTATCTTCAGTCTTGGCACAGATACTATAGATGGCAATCATGTAGGAATCGATCTGAATGGCGTGAAATCCTATCAATCCATTCCATCAGCTTATTTTTCCAATGATGAAAGGAAGAATATAAGCTTGGACCTCAAAAATGGACATCCTATACAGGTGTGGGTAGACTACGATAGCCAAGAACAACTACTCAATATAACTTTGGCACCAGAGAACAACCCGAAACCGAACCAGCCTCTCTTGTCGACATCAATCGATCTCTCTGATATCCTAATGGATACCATGTATGTTGGTTTCTCTGCTGCAACGGGTTCAATTCAAAGCTGTAGCCATTATATTATGGGATGGAGCTTCAACAGAATTGGAGAAGCACAAAGCGTTGAGATGTCCAAGCTTCCCAAAAATGGTGAAGGAAGAAATACGGTTCAATTGATTTCCATCATTGCAGCTGTTTTGTCGCTGTTAGTAATCATTGGAGCATCATATGTTTACAGGAGGAAGAAATACGAGGAAGTACACGAAGACTGGGAAAAGGAATATGGACCTCAGAGGTTCTCTTACAAGACACTCTGCATAGCAACCAAAGGTTTCAAAGACGAGCAACTTCTGGGATGCGGAGGTTTCGGGAAAGTTTATGAAGGTACACTTCCTTATGCCAATGAGCAAATTGCAGTGAAGAAAGTATCCCATGAATCAAATCAAGGGATGAAGGAGTTTGTTTCAGAGATTGTTAGCATGGGAAGGCTAAGGCATAAGAATTTGGTGCCGCTTCTCGGGTATTGCAGGCGTAAGAGAGAGCTCCTTTTGGTCTATGATCGTATGGAAATTGGCAGCCTCGACAAGCGTCTTTTCAACGAAGACAAACCAGCCCTTACATGGTTTCAAAGGTTTCGAATCATCAAAGGTGTGGCATTGGCTCTTCTTTATCTCCATGAAGAAGGGGAACAAGTTGTTCTCCATCGAGACATTAAATCCAGCAACGTTCTTTTAGATTCCGATCTAAATGAACGGCTCGGAGATTTCGGTCTGGGCAGATTATACGATCACAACGTTGATCCTCAAACCACTCGTCTAGTAGGAACTTTAGGATATATGGATCCCGAGCTCCTCCGAACTGGAAGGGCTACTAAAGCTGCCGATGTGTTTGTTTTCAGGGTTTTTCTGCTAGATGTAGCTTGTGGGAGGAAGCCATTTGAACCTAATGTACCACCGGAAGAGATTTTTCTAGTTGATGTAGTCAAGAGATGCTTCAAAAGAGATGCAATTGTCGATGCCGTTGATCCAAGATTACAAGGCAATTACGTGGTGGAGGAGATGGAGAGAGTTCTGAAACTAGGCCTGCTTTGTTCCAACCCCAAACCGGATTTGAGACCCACCATTAAAGAAGTGGTTCAGTATCTCCAAGGTAATGCTAGTTTGCCTGTTTTACCACTTGATAGTATACCCCAAAATATACCTTCTTCCATCCTTGAAACCTTACCTCGGAGTACAAAAATTAGTATCTCCATAGCAGATAACTTAGAATCTGACACTTTAATTTCGTTTTCTTCATCAGTAGGAAAGGGTCTTTCTCTCAATTCCTTGTCCAGAACAGATTCAGATCTTCATATAGGTCGATGAGGTGGTGTAATGTAAATGTTTGTACATAGTTATGATTTCTTCATCTTTCTTTTACCACACTTGAGAATGTTTGCATGGATAATTTTATTCTCAAGCCTTTTAAAATTAATTAGATGCATATATTTTTTAAAAAAAATTATGGTTTTAATTATATATTACAATATTTATAATAATATAAAATGAAACGAGTGGCTGCATTGGAAAGATGCTTATCCTCAATGAAATTGAATGAGAATAACTAGAATCAAAGATTGGAAACCATGGGTTGTATATAATAATCGTAATAAGGTGAGTGTGTAATTTATATTATTTTTATTTTTATTTTTATACATTTATTAAAAATAATATTTTTTTGAATAATTCATATCTAAGGGAGGGAAGTAGAATTTTATGCAAACATAATACTTATTTAAGTTTCAAGACAAAAAAAGCGTATCCGTGAACTATCAACAAAGACCACGTGTCAATTAATTACTATCCCGCCAACATTATCCGAATATGATCATCATCGATCATGTATTGATATGTGTGATCTCTTTTGATTATAAATTAGCCTAGATCATCACTTATTAGAACATCCAATCAATACTTATACGACGATAACTCTCGATCAATACTTGTCAAATGCAGATTAAAATATCATGCAATGAAAATTAATTGTACGTATAATCTCTTCTAAAAAAAATTAAACCAAAACGATCAATATCACCATCCAAACCACCCTCTACTATTGGTATCTACTTCACCTACCAACACTACTCAAAAACTTGGATTACCCATTAACGAACATCCTAAGTTGTATTGTCTATATAAATCGAAGTTTTTGATTTTCCAAGATTGTATTATTTGTTTTTAAGTTTGTTTTAAGTAGGGGTGTTCGAGGTCGGTTTGGATTGGTTTTTGGCTAAAAATTTATCCGATCCGAAAGTATAAATGTTTACGGTTTGAATTGGTTTGGATGTTTCTAAAAAAAATCCGATCCGATCCAATTAAGTGTGGCTTGATTCGGTTTGGATTTGTGCGGTTTTTGGATTCTAATTTTTCAAAATAATTCTTAAATTTTTTTATAAAAAAACTGCATATGTATAACAAAAGCAAAGAGAATATATATTTTAACAAATTCAAGCTTTTAAGGTTTACAAAAAGAATATATATTTTAACAAATATAGACTAGTATATGAACTTATCAGTCATTCTAAACTTTTGAATGGAAAAGGACATTGAACTAAATAACACCGAAGTTATTCTGCATGTTTTCAAGATTTGTCACAATATTAAGGCCAGAATTAAATTAATAAGCAGGGATTGTACTCAAGAGAATCCCATAACACTTGTTAAGAATTTGGCATGGTAGAGAGATTGTCATTCATTGTAAGAGATTATCGATTCGGTTTGGATCGATTTTAGATTTTTAAATCGAAATCAAACCGATCGTTTTAAAAAAAAATCATACATACTAAATCGATTTCGATTTTTTCGGTCATCGGATTTTTAGATTGGATTTAAGTTATTTTTTTGATCGAATTAGATATGAACACCTCTAGTTTTAAGCCCATAAGTGGGAAATTAAAGTAAAAATATAAATTCCACGTACGTGGATTGGTGGCAACTTTCGATAGTCAATGGCAAAGACAGTCACGCGCTTGAGGAAATTGTACGAAAATGCTACTTGCGAAAATATAAATTCCACGTACGTGGATTGGTGGAAAACTTCCATAGTCAATGGCAATGACAGTCACGCGCTTTAGGAAATTGTATGAAATTGGTACTTGGAAATTGTTGGACTTTACAACTTCCTAAACGTTTACAAGAAAAACTGTATGATAGATCATTAACATTTTTTTCTAATAAAATAACGTGAAGATTAAAGAAATAATAATCTTATGTAAGCTCTTATATATTTTGAGTTGTTGCGTTTTATAGTTATTTCAGATTATGCCTAAAAATACATATATTAAGATATTAATACATAATAGTATTTCTTTTAATTATTAAGTTAATTTTATTGACTAGATAAAAATAAAAACTATATAATTTTTAAAAAATAAAATAGATTAAACATGTTAACCAATAATCCCTTAAAATAATTAAAGAGTAAAAGCTACATGTTAAATAATAAAAATAGTATGATATAATAAAAAAAATTAAAAACTAATCACGTGTCTAAAAAATACGAACAAATACTATCATTAACGGTGAAAAATAAAATTATCAATATCGACATAAAATTAAATATAATGATGATGGCACGTTGACAAATAACTTCATTACAAGTTAAGTATAATTTACCTCAATTGTGAATATTTATGAAAAGAACTAGTTCAATGCTCAAATCATGAATATATAAACAAGATAATCAAATAAATATCAATTGATGAGTTGACATCAAATCTACACTAAAAAACATAACATGCTACAAAAAAATACATATAAATATTATAAAAGAAACTTTTTTTTATTTGATACAAATATTAAATAAAACAACATAAAAGATAAAAAATAAATTATAATAAAATATAAAAAGACAACTACTTAAACAAAGGTTAACGACCATATTATTTTTTTCTAACCAGCAAAGAGAACTTTTAGAGAGAGAGAGAGAAAAAAAAACTTAATAATCAGCTGACTTTCTTAATTAAGAGAATCTTATAAAATTCAATAACTCTGAAAATTAAAATTTTAAAAGATATAGCCAGTTGGACCGGGGGTTTTAGGTGAAGATGACCTACCCCATATGAGTGAAGAAATGATGTGCATGGTTTTTACATTGGGTTTTGGGTAGTTCTATAATATTGTTTTATTAAATCATTCAAAACTGAAGACAAAATGATTATTTGCCAAATTTCATTTTAGACATCGCTGCACGTTGTTGGCCCATGGAAATAAATAAAAGGTTAAAGTATAGTAATGGTCCCTGAACTTTTTTAAAGCTTTTATTAGGTCCCCTAACTTTTAAAACTTGTAATACAGTCCTCCAATATTTAGTCCGTTTGCAATATGGTCCCCGACGTACCCGGTCAATTGTCGTCGTTGCACTTCCGTTAGTACATTTGCAATATGGTCATTGAACTTTTCAGATACTTGCATTTAGGTCCCCCAACTTTTAAAACTTGCAATACAGTCATCAATTTCCAAAACATATAAAAAATCTAATTTGTTCACGATATATCAATCACATAGTCAACATGAACTTATTAAAAAGAATACGAGCTCATAGGACGTCGAAAACCATAGGTCGGATCAATACAATTCCCAGTAAACTAGTACCAACAGTCTCTCGGATTGAGTCTGGCGATTTCGCTATGTCGATACTCACAACCAATTCCATGATTTAAAGAAAAACCAAACAAGAATATCAAAAAAATTTAGCCTAGGACCCTCTTTCACTTCTATTCTGATGGGCTGAATATCTTTCATAAGGAGTACTAAAAGTTTTGATTAAGAAGAAAGAAAGAAAATTAGATGATTTGGTTCAAAACTAACACTGAATATCCAGGTCATTGACATGCAGTTCCAGAAACATAAAAATTTCAACAAAAAACACACAATGCGTGTTGAAAATGGGAAAGTGCGAAAGAGGAAAAGCTTACTTCTGGATAGCCTAAAAGAGAAAATAAATACCATTTTGCAAGTGAGGGGAGAGGCTAAGAAATAAATGCAATCGGTGTTGCGTTCCAGCAATTCTTCCTCCATTTTTTCTTTGTAAATAAAAAGCTGAAAGACAGAGCACTGTTTAGGTTTACAATTTTACATGGCAGAAAATTGAAGAACAAAAACCAAACGAGAGTGCATTTAAGCGAAAGAGACTGAGAGGTGAATGTGTCGTTTGGGATTTCATTATATTTGATCATCTGCTGGAAAATTTTTAACCACAAGGATTAAATGAAGAAATTATTATATGTCATTTATACAAAATAATTACAACTTTGTTGGTGACTTTCAACAATGATACTTAGTCCATCTTAGTAGTATTTGTCAACTCTGCATTTCTATCCCCATTTTTTTCTCACAAGCATTTCATCGAACATCTATGCTTCACCTAAGATGACCTATATCTAACATTACACCTTGAATCGTTGATGGTCCCGATAATCCCTTGGTCGGGTCTTCTCTCAATGGAACCTTATTCAAGTCAACACCTCCACATAATTCAAAGTTAGATTAGAATTTCCCATGCATCCCCTACTGAAATGTTACGCTGAAAATGAGAAGAGATAAGCGAAAAAGGAAATTCAAGATCGAAAAGGAATTTGGGGTTTAGAATGAAATTGAGGACTGTGTTGCAAGTTTTAAAAGTTGGGGGCCTGAAATGTTCAGTGATCATATTGCAAATCTACTAACGGCAGTGTAACGGCGTTAAACGGCCGGTTACGTCGGGGACCATATTGCAAATGGACTAAATGTTAGAGGATTGTATTGTAAGTTTTAAAAGTTGGGGGACCTAAATGAAAGCTTTAGAAAAGTTCAGTGACCATTACTATACTTTACCCTAAATAAAAAGGTAAACATGTCATCCAGGTTCTCTTAACCACCACCAAGGAAGCTTTCATTCTTCGAACGATGATTGCTGCTTTCACATCGTCTCGTTTGTGGCTGTTTTCATGCCTGGCTCTGGTTTCCATGGCCAAGGCTCAACATCCACACCAATTCATTTATAATCATGGCTTCCGTCAAGCTATCCTCCAACTTGATGGGAGCGCCGAAATCCTCTCGAATGGTCTATTGCGGCTCACCAGTTCTTCAGTATTGCAAATTGGCCATGCTTTCTACCCTTCTTCGAGTTCAGCTCCATCTCTTTCCTTCTCCACCAACTTCGTGATTGCCTTCGTCCCTGGTCCAGAACAGGCCACTGGCCATGGCGTTGCCTTTGTCATCTCACAATCTACAGATTTCAGCCATGCTTCTGCAATCCAATATCTAGGACTGGTTGATCAGTCGACCAATGGGAATTCCTCTAACCAGTTCTTCGCGGTCGAGTTTATACCATCTTCATTCTTGAAATGGGTGATTTAGATGGCAATCATGTAGGGATCGATCTGAATGGCGTGAAATCGAACAAACAAGTTACAGCACAATATTTTTCCAATGAAGAAAGGAGGAATATAAGCTTGGACCTTAAAAATGGACATCCTATACAGGTGTGGGTAGACTACGATGGCCAAGAACAACTACTCAATGTAACTTTGGCACCAGGGAACGTCCCGAAACCGAACCAGCCTCTCTTGTTCGACATCAATGGATCTTTCTGATATTCTAATGGATGTCATGTATCTTGGTTTCTCTGCTACAACAGGTTCAATTCAAAGTACTAGCAGTAGCCATTATATTCTGGGATGGAGCTTTAATAGAAGTGGAGTAGCACGGAGCTTTCAGATATCCCAGCTTCCAAAACTTCCCAAAAATAGTGGACGAAGAAATACGGTTCGATTGATTTCAATCATTGCGGCTGTTTTATTGCTGTTAGTAATCATTGGAGCAGCATATGTATACAGGAGGAAAAATTATGAGGAAATACACGAAGACTGGGAAAAGGAATATGGACCTCATAGGTTCTCCTACAAGACACTGTATATAGCAACCAAAGATTTCAAAGACAAGCATCTTCTTGGATTCGGAGGTTTCGGGAAAGTTTATAGAGGTACACTTCCTTATACAAATGAACAAATTGCAGAGAAGAAAGTATCCTATGAATCAAATCAAGGAATGAAAGAGTTTGTGGCAGAGATTGTTAGCATGGGAAGGCTAAGGCATAAGAATTTGGTGCGGCTTCTCGGGTATTGCAGGATTAAGAAAGAGCTCCTTTTGGTCTATGAACGTATGGAAAATGGTAGCCTCGACAAGTTCCTTTTCAGCGTTCACAAACCGACCCTTAATTGGTTTCAGAGGTTTCAAATCATCTAAGGGGTGGCATCGGCTCTTCTTTACCCCCATGAAGAAGCGGAACAAGTTGTTATCCATCGAGACATCAAAGCCAGTAATGTTCTTTTAGATTCCGATCTAAATGGACGGCTTGGAGATTTCGGGCTGGCCAGATTGTATGATCGCAACGGTGATCTGCAAACAACTCGTCTAGTAGGAACTATAGGATATATGGATCCGGAACTCACCCGAATCGGAAGGGCTACTAAAGCTGCGGATGTGTTTTCTTTCGGGGCATTTCTGCTAGAGGTTGCTTGCGGGAGGAAACCATTTGATCCGAATAAACCACTGGAAGAATTTTTTCTGGTTGATGTAGTCAATAGGTCCTTCAAAAGAGACGCCATTGTTGATGCTAGCGATCCAAGGTTACAAGACAATAACGTGGTGGAGGAGATGGAGAGAGTTCTGAAACTAGACCTGCTTTGTTCCAACACCAAATCAGATTTGAGACCCACCATTAAAGAAGTGGTTCAGTATCTGAAGGCAATGTTAGTTTGCCCAATATACCACTTGATAGTAGACCCCAAAATATACCATATTCTATCCTTGAAACCCTACCTCAGAGTACAGAAATTAACATATCTACAGCAAATAACTTAGCATCTGATACTGTACTTTCGTTTTCTTCATCAGTAGGAAAGGCTCGTTCTTTGAATTCATTGTCAAGTACAGATTCAGTTCTTCGTATAGGTCGCTGAGGTGTCTTAATGTAAATGTTTGTACGTAGTTATATTTAGTTCCATGTTTCTTTTTTCATTTTTCGGAACTGGTTTGATGTTTCTGGGTTAATTTGAATCAATGTAAGCACTTGAAATGAAGAAGACCGATGAAAACTGCAGTTTAATTGGTCTGTAATCCAAATTCCGTTGAACTTTTGCTTAGTGTTTTGAAGACTTTGGGTTTCTTGATTAACAATAATTATAATAAAAAAAAACCAACCATTTATCTACTCTTAAGTCTTAATCAAGAAATTTCTTGAATTGAATGGTCAATGCTGGCATGTGATGATTTATAAGCAATTAATTAACTATATAAGGTATATTCGAGTAGTGACAATTAATTAAATTTGTTACTATAATATATATCGACTATAATATAATAATAATCCGAAAGATCCCTTCTTAGCCCAAATGATAAAAGGGTAAACTACAAGTTTAGTACCTAAACTATAGGTTTTGATCCGTTTTAGTACTTTCAAATTTTTAAAGTTGTACCTAATGTTTAGTTTTTGTTTTATTTTAGTACCCTGTTAAAAACTTAACATTAAGTTTTGAAAATTTTGAATGTTTAGGTACTAAAACGGACCAAAACCGATAGTTTAGGTACTAAATGCGTCAAGTTTTTAATGACAGATACTAAAATGAAACAAAAACTAAATGTTGTATGGTTTTGAAAAATTAAAAGGTTAGGTACTAAAATGGTTTAAATCTGATAGTTTAGATACTAAACGCGTAGTTTACCCTTGATAAAAATATAATTATATAAGACTTCCTTAAACTATGACCTCCATTTTATATTGGTTTATAAATTTTAAAACATTTTATTTAATTCTTAAATTATGCTCATTTTAAATTGGCCCCTAAACCTTAGAATATTTTATATTAATCCTTAAATTATCAATATCATTTCATTTTGATCCTTTCGTTAACGTGATATTATCTCTACTAGCTATAAAATTTAATATGTTTTTTAAGGTCCCAAGAGTCGTATTTGTAACCTTTTAAAAAAATTCTCAAAATCTTAGAAAAAAAATTAACTTTTTAGGTCATAGATTCAATTGTTAGGACCTTCAAAAACTAATAGAATTGACGACAAATTAACAAAATGATTAAAATAAATTATACTGATAGTGTGAGGATTTATATAAAATATTTTAAAGTTTAAGAATGAATTTAGAATTAGGATCATAATTTAATGAGTAATTGAATAGTTTAAAATTTAGAGACTAATTTCAAACAGATATCATAATTCAAAAACCTTTTGTAGAATTAATTTAATGATAAACATCTTATCTATAAATCATTTTAAATTAAGTTTTTTGTGTGTGTCAAAAATTAACTAAGCAAATGACTAACATGAGTTGGTTGAATTGATTGAATATTCATTAACAATTGAGAATAAGATTTAAGTCGTGTTAATATAATTGGTGACTAAGCAGGTTGTTCAGGATGTTATGAGTCTGTTATAGATTTGTTGCTGAGTCAGCTAGCCCTTCACGTGTTTGTGGTGAAGAGTTACGCTATATATTTCCATCCCTGTTGTAAGCAAGAAGCAAGTTGGTTTTCTAAAATATTATCAAAGTATTTCTCTAAATCTTCTCCGTAGAAAACTAATGTCACCCCACAGAAAGCTGTTTTTGTTTTAGCTATGTGCGCACCTCGGTTTGTTAAGTTTATTAGGTGATACTGATGCCTAATGTGGCTGTAGTCTTGAGGGTTGTCTATCTTGGAGTTTTATTTTTGAAATTGCTGAGGAGAATATATTCTTTTTCTCTCATATAGGGTTAGGGAAGCTCTTAATGAGACGGTCTCCTCTAACCAAAGCTTTATAATTCTCTAATAGAGGAACCATTTCCACAACAAATTTGTTAAATTTATTCATGGTTGTTTAATACCAAAACATAAATTAAAAGAGTTGTTTACAATTTACCTCTACTCTATTCTTAGCTGCATCCTATTTTCAATTTAAATGTTGTTTCAGTTTAGAAACTTTCAAGGAAGGCATTAAAATTAAAGAACCACATGTCCTTCCACCATCAGCCTCTCACTTACATATTAATTAAAGAAAAATTAAGAAACGACCCCTGACTTGCTCTTTAAAAGTAACTGCTACCATATAACGGTCAAAGGCATTTCTCTAACAAAATCAGAAGTCAAATTCCCCTGCTGCCTGCAAAAAGAGGAGAGAAAAGAAAAACTTGGATTTAGGAACAGTGACCAAATGCACAAAGTGTAAAAACATGCCACATATAATCCACTGCGAAGCACACCTTGTTAAAGAGGATGTCCTTATTGTTTATATGCATGATTCCATCCTTCAGCGTGCATTTCCATCGGCTCTTGGTACGAGTCACCTAAAAATAAAAATATATAACATCTTTGTTTATTGTCTACATAGAAGATAAATCAGACTGCCAAAACTTGATAAATACAAATTACTAAGGGGTTGAGATGATGGATGCAACAAAAATAGCTAAATCCACCTTGTCGAATTGAGCCAAAACAAGATGCTGTGTGTTCAGCTCCTCCTGGTCCACATCATCCAAATCGTCTTCGTCGTCGTCTTCATTCAATGGTTCATCATCATCATCATCAACTGTATCACTTTGAGCAACAGGAGCAGGAGTGGCAGCCTGAAGGTCTGTCAAGGAAAAAAGGAAAAACCAGTCGTCCAGTACACAACGTGTCTAGATGAGAGTTAGAGGTGGTGGAAGGGGAAGGAACAGCCAAAAGAAGCATAAGCAGCTCATCCAGTCAGTTTACCGTTTGGAGCCGGTGTGTTCGCTACGTTGTAATCTTCATTGACAACTCCTTGATAATTGTAAATCTTCAAGGTGAGGGAAGAAAATAAGAAGGTTAGTGAATTCTCCAATGATATATATAAGAAACAAAGAGAAAATGTCCATTCCAAACCATACACATAAAGGTAAGAATAAGTTGCAGAATTGCACAACCAGATTAGGAATTGACGAAGAAAGCATATGATACTTACATTGGGAGTAGAAAGCATATCATCAAACGGATCAGGAATTGGTCCATCTAGTTGCGGAATCTTTGATGATGAAGTAGCTAAGTGTGCTAAGATCTTGCTTTTTGCATTGGTTGCTGAGTCATGTCTACCCAATAAATTACAAACCTTGTTTCCCTGAAAAAACTTAGAACTACATGATTAAGACAGATGCACAACAAATCCAAACTCACATATTCCAACAACGATTTGGTATAAAAGTAGCCTTCTGGAATAACAAAGTCTCATCATAAATATTTACCAGATTATAGCTCAGAGCTTAAACTACATTTGCTTTTGCATTTTTATGAAGAGAAAAGGTAAGTAAAAAAATAAAATAAAATAAAAGAATGTGGGGACAAAAAAGAAGGAAAAAGAACAGCATACCTCGAGCAGATCTAACAATAATGGATAAAAGAATTTAGGCTAACAGATGCCAGGGTCATTATAAGAAGAGTAAACCAACCTCATCTTATCATGATGGCCTCAATTAGAATGACAAAACTTTCCTTATAAATATTCATTTTATAGTTCGGAGCTTGAACTATGTTGGCTTTTCCATTTTTAGTAACATAAAGGTAATCAAAAGAGAAAAGAATGTGGAGACAAAAAATGTAATAAACCGTCTGAAGCATATCCTAGAAATAATGGATAAGAGAATTTAGGCTAAAAGGCGAGGAGATCATTACAAGTGGAGAAATGCCACCTCATCTTATTACACTATCTCAGAGACCCATCCCATACCCACCTTTGAGAGCGTTCTGGGTCAACAAAAATAAACTAAAGAACTCCTCCATTTAATATTTGAGAATGTTCTTTACTGTTTAGAAAACATTTCATGACTGCTGAGAGCTAATGGAAAACATGTACCTAAACAAAATAGTCATAACCCCAATACCATCAAGAAACAAAACTTCCAGGAAGATCTTGATCTGTGTCAAGCACTGGTTATCAAATTATCACGCTGTTATTCTCCATTTACATAAAAGATAGTAGTCAGACACCAAAGAACCAGTATTAGACCAAAAGAACATAAAGCCACCGCACAGAAGAACAATGAGTAGTACAAATGAATCAGATTAATCTTACTATTCTCGCTTCAATATTACTATTTTTACCAGATATAACATAAATATATAACAATGAAAAATGAACACGGATTTGTAAATAAACTACCCAAAGGACAACTAACCTCTGTCTTTGCAATTTCAGATGTAGCATCTCCAGCTCCATCTTGTTGGGGTATATATCCACCACCATTATTATACCGTGTAGCAAAATTCTCACGTTTTCTCTTTCCAGGAGGCATCATAAAGAAGTCCTGGTATTTCCTCCAGTATTAAAATTAATCACCAACAGTAACAAAAGCTCGTTTCAACATGGGGACAAAGATTTTTGAAGGACATAGTTTCCCGAATATTCAGACATCATTATGCAGTTGTAACACCACTCAAAACAGGAGTTACCTGTGTCAGGGGTTGATTTGAGGTACCTCTGTCCGCCTCCTCCCGTCCTTCCACGTAAGCTACAAGAGAATAGAATTTTCTGTTAACAGACCATGTGCATTCAAACTGATTGCTCGTTAAATGTCATACTAACCAACATTAACATCAACAGTTAGTGGGGTCCTTTGATTAGACCAAGGAGAAGGAGACTGCTGTGGAAAGAAAAACAAAAAGAAAATATCAGTAATAAATCTACAACAAGCCAAACAGCTACTTTTTCTTTAGTGGCAAGTAGAAAATTACAACTATAGCACAATGTTTCCTAAAGCAAAGTAGCAGCTAAAGAGCATTTCATACCATATAAGTGCTTGGCCTTCCACCTTTTACATCAGCATTAGTACCGCTAGCATTCACAGGTGTGGGATAATCACTACCTCCAGTAGGTATGTTATACATAGAGCCATCTGCACTTCCCGGCAGTGGTGTAGCCATAGGTGTTTGCAAAGGAGTCTACACAATTAAAAATCCTTACAAAAAAAACCACAACATAAAATTATCACCGCAATTAAAACTCAAAAAAGCAGTCAAAATAGAGCCCGTTACCGGAGGGAAAAGCATATCAGCTGTAGGAGTTTCGTACTCCTCAGTCCCCTCGTAAGGAACATTGAGATCGTGCACCGGAGTAATTGGACCGCCGGGAGCATGTTGCTTCTGACCAGAAGATCTCTCTATTGGACCAACGATTGCTCCCGCTTGCATCATCTTCATCTCAACAGAAATGGGTATAGAAAGTTCAGGAGCGGACGAGAAAAGGAGATTAAAAGAGTGCAATATAAATAGGTTTGCATCCGTTTATAAGGGGGGGTGCCCACGTGGCGCAACTCAAGAGCTCCTTCAGTTTTGTTTTCATTTTCTCTTTTTATGTTTCTACGGGCATGCGATTTGTAGGTTTGTTATACGATAATCTTAATATATAGTTAAAAAATATTTTATAAAAAATATTAATATTGTTTTAATATTTTTGGTATAGTATTATTTAAAATATTATTTTTTATCGAAAATATTAATTTTACTAATTAATTTTCGGTAGAACCTAATATTAATATTTTTGTTAAAAAAATAATATTTTAGGCAGTGTTTTACCGGAAATGTTAAACATTTTCGATATAAAAAATAATGTTTTAGGTAGCGCCTTACCGAAAATATTAAAGAAAATATTAACATTTCCAGTAAGGTATTTCCTTAGTCGTATATTAAGGTTTTCGCACTTGAGACATTCCCACTTTGTCTATAACGACTCTAAGCTTCGTACCGACGTTTATGATCAAATAAAGATTATATATATATATATATTGTCACATCCCTACATTTCAACCAGAGGAACCATGCGACCTTAGATGCTTTTCGGAAGGCAACGCCTAAGTCAGCCTGAAAAAACTAGGTAAAAAGACTTAGAAAGAAATGCGGAAGCGAACATATATCCGAAAGGAAATGCCTCACACACAAGAACAAGAGAATTTGAGAGAATACTTAGATTTATTCTTCAAAACTGAAGTGAAAAATGAGGTGGGAGTAGGCTTATATTTATAATTAAAGCTCATTACATCCAACGAGTGAAATTAAATACAATCAATGGTTAGGATTAAAAGAAAATCTAGCTAAATATTTACATTATCTTTATTTTAAATTCAAATAAAAGATAAATAAATAAGAAAAACTTATTTAAATCGGATCAGCTTTAGCTAAAGTGACCCAAAATGTTCCTCAGACTCATTTGGTGGCCCAATATGGCCTTGGTGGTGTCCTGGCTAGTTCAACCGCACTTATCTCGATCATAGACTGTCGGTTCATGACATTCTCCCCACTAATTCTAGCGACGCCCTCGTAGCGCGGCTAGAGTGGTACTGCTCGATCGATCTTTAAACTGCCAAAGTCTCTCGGCTAGTTCCCAACTCCCCTCACTATTAGGCAATCCCTTCCACATAACAAAGTATTCATGCCTTGGTCAATAAATGGGTCGTCGGATGCATCTCTCCGCCTGGATCTCTTCAACTTCCTTATAATGGGAAATCTTCACTCCGAGTGGTGTTCAGTGTGATATGCCTCGGTTTAGACTCTCGTCATATTTGTGATAAGGCTTGAGTAAATTGACATGGAACACAGGGTTCGCCCGAATGGTTGGAGGCAACTCCAATGTATAGGCCATGGAGTCTACTCACTTCAAAACTCGAAATGGTCACTCATATCTCCACACAAGCCCTTTTTGCACATTCGGGTTGCGCAGAACATTGATCAACTTGGCAAGGACAAGATCACCAACCTAAAAATTCAAGTCCTGCGCCTTCGATCTGCCCACTTCTTGGTTCTTTTTCCCGCCTTGTGTAAACAAGCTCGGGCCTAGGGATGTAAATGAGACGAGACAGATCGTGAGCTACTCGAGATCGACTCGATCTTGGCTCGATAAATACTCAGATCGAATAGACTCGACTCGAGCTCGAGCTCGACTCGATTTCTTAACGAGCCGAAACGAGCTACTCGATATTCGACTCGAAAAGCTCGTGAGCAGCTCGAAAAAATGTTATATTATAATTTTAGATTTTTTAAAATTACATTATTAAAAATATATTAAAAATACATTAGTGATGAATAAATATTCTTGAATTGAAAATTGTTAAAATATTTTTGAATAAATATTATTATTTACTTTAAATTAATAAAAAATTATTTATCTAATGACAAATATTTAATATATTAAATTAATAAAAAAATTTATTTATCTAATGACAAATATTTAATATATTTCTAATGATAATATTTCTAATAACTATTTTTTAAAATTGTTTTTATATTTTGAGGTTTTAGGTTCAAATATCATAAATATCAAGGGTTTGAGCATTTAATATCAAGATATTATATTGTACTTACCTCATAACTAATTATGTGATAAGGTTTAGGATTTAGGGTTTAGGGTTTATGTGTTAGGTTTTAGGGTTTATATGTTAGGTTAGAGTTTAGGTTTAAGTTATGCACATGAAGGTAACATACAAATTATACAAAAAATGATGTTATATGACTCATAAATAAATCATTCACATACTTATACATAAACATATCAACATGCAAAATAAATATACACAACTAATTAAAGAAAACAATCCTAAACATGGACTAAATTAAGAAAAAACTAAATGTGAGGACTAATTTAAGCTAAAATTTAAACAATTGAGGGATTTTTTGTACAAAACGCATAAATCTAGAGAGCCTAAAGCTAATTTACCCCAAAGGTTACGGTGGCTAAACGATAATTAAACCCCGGAGATGAAAAAAGAAATGAAAACTGGAATCAGAAGTCAAGAGGAAGATTAGTTTGGCTAAAAAAAGATGACCTTCTTCTGCTCATACTCTCTTTGTCAACACCAATAACAACACCGACATCAACAATGTTATTTTTATTAGATTGGATCCTACACTTTTCCCTCTCCTCTCTATTACCATATTTCTATATGATTGTTTCTTAAATGGTGCCTTTTGTTTTCTTTTGTTTATTATTATTCTCTTTTTCTGGGGTTGTAGAGGCAGATGGGAAGAACAGTAATAAGGATAAAACTATGTGATCAAAACATTCTGTCACTGAGTAGAGTAAGATAAATGAGAGGTATGTGTCCATCTTTTTATCATTAGTTCATTTCCATGGAAATTGGAGATTTTTTAGCCTTACACTTCAACTAGTTCTCTTTGTTTAGGGAGCTAAAGTTATGACAATTGCATAAATCATTGATTGTAATGGCTTAGGATATGTTGATCCTATGAAAGTTTTGAACTTTATTACTGCAAGGTCTACTTTTGTTATGTAAATATTGTTGCTACCTAGCTAACTCACTGAATCATGAATTCAAGATGATTCTACTGAGCTTTTATGGAAGAGATCTTTTGTGTAAAGTCATCCGATTATGTTAGAAAGAAATGTTAAGTTCAGTTTATAAAACGTTTAAGTACTTGAAATGGCACTGAAATTTCGGTGCTTGTTCCATGTGAATTGACCACAAGTGCACTGAATCGTGTGGAAGTTAATCCTATCAGAGATGCAAATGCGACATCCAAAGCTATGGATCAGCAACCCAAGTCGGCGAACATGGGAATGCTCTGCCAGTTTCGGGTGATAATGTGTTTGGTCATCCACTTCAGAGACTAGTGTCCGAGGTTCAATCAACTTTCTTATCAGCAATGATCTTTTACTATATCCCAGATTCCCAGTATCCCACATCGGTAGGTTTAAGGAAGCTTTGCGCTGGGGATATTATAAAAGGCAAGGATACCCAGAGTAAGGGCAGCTTTGTGCGGGGCGCAATGACGCAGCTCGTGAGGTTCTAACCGATGCGCGTCAATTGCTAGTTGAAAACTATTTTCAATTGAGCTTGAATCGAGCTCAAAATTGAGCTTGAATCGAGCTCGAAATTGAGCTTAGTTTCGAGTTTTAATCGAGCTTAGTTTCGAGTTTTAATCGAGTTTAGTTTCGAGTTTTAATCGAGCTTAGTTTCGAGTTTTAATCGAGCTTAGTTTCGAGCTTTAATCGAGCTTAGTTTCGAGCTTTAATCGAGCTTAGTTTTGAGTTTTAATCGAGCTTAGTTATGAGTTTTAATCGAGCTTAGTTTCGAGTTTTAATCGAGCTTAGTTTCGAGTTTTAATCAAGCTTTTAATTTTTTTTGAGTTCGAACCTTTTCGAGTTTGAGTCGAGTTATAATATTATCTTTCAAGTTCGAGTCGAGCTTGAAAATTTTAGGCTTGCGAGTTTTCGAGTCGAGTCGAGCTTACATTTTAAGTTTTCGAGTTCGAGTCGAGCTCGGCAATACTCGAACTCGACTCGGCTCGTTTACACCCCTACTCGGGCCAAGTCAAGATGAAATTGCCACTCCCTGGAAAACTTGTGTATTGCTGGATTAGGCCCCTTATACTTGGCAACAATCGTGTTGGATGTCAATGGTTGTTACCCAGTCACAATCTCAAACGGGCTTTGGTTTGTGGCCTCACTCCGTTGCAAATTGTAGGAAAATTGAGCCATATCCAACAACTTCGACCAAATGTGTTGTATGGCACTCACATAGTGTCTCAAGTAGATTTACACGAAGGCATTCACTCTCTCAATCTACCCATCTATTTGTGGATGGCAAGTCGTGGAAAAATTCAAGTATGATCCCATCAACTTGAACAATTGGGTCCAAAATCTCCCAGTGAATCGTGTGTCCTGATCACTAACTATCGTCTTTGGAAACCCTCAATACTTCACCACATGCTTGAGGAAAAGACGAGATGTTTCTTCGGTCGGACATACTTTTGAAGTCAGAATGAAAGCCCTATACTTAAAAATCATATCATTAACAACCATTATATTGGACAAACCATCAGTGTTCGGCAAACTAACAATGAAATCCATGGAAGCACTTTCTCATGGTCGTTCTGGAATAAGCAATGGTTGTAGTAGCCCTACTGACTTCTTTATCTCTATCTTGTCCTATTTTCATACAAGACAAGTCTTCATATAGGTTCAAGATCATCGCCTATGTGCGGCCAGTAGTAGTGCTCGGCCAATAAAGCCAAAATATGGTTCATCCCCGGATATCCCGCCCATTGAGAGTCATGGCACTCTCTCATGAGTATTTTGCGTAATTCTTCATATTGAAGAACATAGAGGCGGTGTCCTCGTGTATATAGTAAGTCTCATTTGAGCCAAAACCTTTTAGTTTTCCCCTCCTTGACAAGATCAATCGATA